CCAGTTGACATCCGCGGTGTTAAACCCCCTTCCCATCCAGGCCATTTTTCAGTATTCAGCGCTGCGGTACTTTAAATGTTTGCAGCTGATCACTCGCAGGCCGTTATTAAAGCGTCTTCATGTTGGAGGTCTAAAGTTCTGGATTTGTCGCTTGATAGAGCACTGAACAACATTAATTAGCATTACATATCAAAGCAGGTCTACGATCAGTGAAAACACGTGTTTATATAAATAAAGTGGAACGATCAGAGAAATGTTCAAAATGCAAGGTTTTATCTGGTGGTTTACCATGGTCACGCTTTAGCAGAGTCTTCATAGAGATTAAGGGCCTATTCAGATTTGTGCCTTGAGGTAATACATGGTAAAAACGTGGATTTTGATGCGAGTTGCTGAAATGCATGCGTCTCAATGCGCTGAGGTGCCATTTATCTTGAAAGGAACTCCGACGTGCTAACCCAGTAACGAGCAACACACCGGCATTGCAGCAAATCACAATGCACATTCAGAGCAGTGAGAGTGTCTTTGCAAAGGTCCCGACCTTACCAGTGCTATTCTGACTCTCTGTCCTCCAACACTATGGATGACATACCATTCACCCTGCCAATATCTGTATATATGCATAAATATATGCCAAAAAGAATGTTCTTTTGTTTTGTTCTTTATAGGTGCAATCAATTTTTGAATGCTTTCAAGTAATATCGCATTATGGACTGTCACATGATAGATGGAATAACATCATTGCTCCCCCTAGCTTCTGACACCAGCCAACAATATGGATTTCTGCTATGTCAACCAAAAAATTCCGGGAGTCGTTCTGTTAACCCTCTCACTCAGTTCCCTGGATAATGAACAAATCTTCCTTGATTCCTCTCTTTCACCAGAGATCTGATCCAGTCCTTCTCCCAGCATTTTCAGCACATGGTAACCTATGGTGAAATGTGTTGCATTGCCTTTAAGATATTGTCACTTTGCCCTGAATGTGCGAGGTGACGGTGACTCTTCAAGCCAGCATATCATCATGGGAGAACCATAACACTGCGCCCTTATGCAGCAAACACATCCAGAAACAGATGTTCAATAAAATGTTCAGAACTAAGAAACCTGATATGTTTTATTTATATAATATAGAACTACATACATAGAATAAAGTACATAAAATACTAAGATTTTAGGTAAAATTCCCTTTAAAATCATTGCCAAACCATATGTAGCTGAAAACACGGCAAAAACATGAATGGCAGAAAATATTTCGGTGATAGCAAGAAAGAAAGCAGAAGACTCTTCTATAGAAGAAAGAAAGCACAAGACTCTCCTATAGAAGATGTGACCGAGTAATAGTTGGGCCATATTCCCAGTGGATGCGGTCAACTTGGGGCCCATGTAGGTGGACTGTCCTCACCACCTACAGACCACATCACCGACAGCAGTTAGTATGAACTGATGCCGTTGCATTTTCTGAATGGACCAGAGAGGCTGCAGCATGCACTACATTGGGTGCTTCCAGGAAATGTAATGCAGTCTTATGGGCAAATAAGTTCAAAGTGCAGTTCCCATAGGCACCAGTTAGAATCCAGTTAAATCCTGAGCAGTTGCTACGCATCAGGACATTTTGCATTGCCCTTGGCCCTTTCACTTGCACTCATAGCTGTTCTAATGTAGATTGTATGCTCTCACAGGCAGGGCCCTCCTTACCATCTTGTCTCAAATTGTATTGTAATGCGCTATATAAATCCTGTATAATAATAATAATAATAATAATAATGGTTGGAACCATCAATGGATGCCTGTCACTCAAACACAGCCCTCAGGACAAGGGGAGTACAACGCCCTCTGGGCAGACACAAATGGGCTCAACATATCAGTGGGCTCAACATATCCAGTGACTATATAGCAGCAACATGCACCTGACATTTTTGATTCACTTCAACAAAGGTGGGTGGGGAAGGTATGCTGCAAATGAAGGAGGACAATATTAGGCTATGCCTCTATATCATATCTAGAACCAAAAACTAAAATGTAATATATTGCAGCTCACCAGTCCTTAGATGAGGTGTTGCATTAGTCTTATTTTTTCACTTTATCATCACCTGGTAACCATGTAAAGAACACTTTGATTGTATATAGAAAACGTTTACAGAGCCGTTTGCTCTGCGAAAATCTCAGTTTGTGATTTGCTCCACATTATGGCCACTAGATGAAGCCAGGGAGCAGAGAAAATTCCTACGCTCCTCGGCTCCATCTAGTGGCCATAATGGGGTGTGAATCTAAAACTGTGGTTTGCAGAGCGAACAGCTATGTGAACGTTTTATGAAAACACATCTTCTTGTCCCTGGGTGGCTACACTCACTTCTCCGCTGCATCTGTAGAGGGAGCCATGGTCACCCAGGCTGCACTTAAAACATATCTGCCTTTCTTCATCTCCATTACATGGGGGATGATCACATTAGTATACAGAAAAATGTCATATTGTTTAGGCTTTCAGTTTATCTCACAGGAAGTGACAAGGACAATGCATTTCTAGCAAGATCACACGTATGTTCTTGACCTGAAACATGAGACGTAATGCATTCACAATATCTAAGGACTGGTACCCTGCAATATATCACATTATTGTTCCTGGGTGTAGTTATCCTTTAAGCTCCATCCACTTTGAGTAAGGAGCTGTAGGGCTTGTAGACATTTGTCAGCTTTCTTCCTCATACAAGTCAATGTGAATGCAAAAGCAGCTAAAGGCATCTCAGAGGGAGTTCAAAGCAACCCAGAAGCTGCTCCCAAGGTGATCATAAGCATCTCAGGAAAAAGTCAAAAGCAGGTCAAAGCCACTCAAGCATGAGCAAAAAAAGCCTAATGCATTCCATTGGCATCTACGTCTGAAACCTGTGCACACAAGCTGGAAGGAGGTCAGTATGGATTCAATCCACAATTCAAAGGCTTCTCAATGAAAGGAGCAAACCACAAATGCTTATTTAGAGGTTTTACAGGAGGGAGGTTGTTGGTGGCTGTTCATCATTTTCATAACGGGTTACTACTTTCTGCATAAGATGATTGCAACTTCGGCTTTACCAGAGCAGGGTAGAAAATGAGAGTGAATATCTGATTTATTGCTGTTGGCAACACCAGTATTTTCCAGTCTGCTAGTATTTAGAAATGGGAATCTGTATTAAGGGTTTGTCCTGTATAACAGAACTGTACCAATGACTCAGAATGGCGTCTAAAGTCTCTCTGCGCCTCCTGGTGGTCAGACTTAATAACTGCATCTTTCCCCTCACCAGCTTGTCACTCTAGGGGTGCATGCGGTGCGTGCCGTGCGGCATGTACAGGCATGAATCACTCTGGCTGGAAGGCGTGCATTTTATTTTTTCTCAGCAGTTTATTGACTCAGTAGCTAATAGAATTCAACAGACATATTCTAGGAAGGTAAGAATTTGGGATCTTTTTGGCAGCCAGAAACATCCTTCAAGAGGTTGTGGCAAGCTGAATGCACAATTGCAATAGCAGGTTAGCAGTTCTAAAATAGAATATACAAGCTGCATGCAATTCTAGAAACATGCATGCTCGGGCAAAGCTAAAGTGCACATTTATGTCATGAGCCTTCTACAAGCTCACGTTCTTATGGATAGCAGGACAGAAAATGAGTATATTAATTGACGGGTGTGGAGAGCTGTGAAAATGCTGGGCGCTAATTAAGGAAAATTATGTTAAAGAGCAAGTCTAAAGAAAAAGGGAAAAGCATACGATGAGTTACTAATGTTATCCGGCAAAAGCTGCAGCTGTGGACAAGTCAGAATGTTCACTTAATTCATTTGAATTTCCTGTAATCTGCTGCAGCCAGACTACAACGGGCATCTGACAGGGTGACTGTGTAATTTCTGTAGCATGTGCTGTGAAACTTCCTCTCTTTTTCCTGTATTACCAATGACATGCAATATTCCATGGCAAGTTGGAATCATATTGGTGGCTGTAAAAATACTTCTTAAAAGAGTAATAAAGCCAAAACTTTTTTGGCTTTAGTCCTCTTTTGGATCGAAGGAGGTCATTTACTAATGTGACCCAAAGTCAGCATCTGGCTACTGCCTTCTGTATGCTGACAGTGCAAAGACACGCTGCAGCCAGGAAGCCAACAATATTGTCAGCATCCCCCCTGCTGCCTGATTGACAGCTGGCTCTGCCTTACTAGAGCCAGATACTTCTGTGCCCGCCCCCTCCCCTGTCTGTCCCTCCAATGAGCACTGGAGGAAAGGAGAGGGGAGGGGGAATACCAGCAGGGAGTGGTGATTGACAGTCCCTGCTCTCTGCAGGGAGAAGACGGTGAGCTGAGAAATCAATGGTTTGTGATCGCCCAGCTCTCGATCTATGTAGACTGCAGTGTCCCACACCAGCTCTATGTATTGGGAAGAGTACATTTTACTCCCAAATACTTCTCCTTTAATAGGGATTTCCTGTATGTGAGATACAGCAAGGACCCTGGGGTGGGTGTGTCTGGGAACACCTCTTCTGCCTCACAAGCAGGGACTGGGTGGCTTTGTGTACTACACCAAGGAATAGATGAAGAATGAAGCCAGAGGAGGTATCCCCTGCTTCCTTTATGCATTGCAAGGTTTAATATGGACTGGAATGCCCTTTTTAAATTAAGGAACCGACTTAGCTGCTGCCACGTGCTACCTACACAACCCCTTGCAGGGAATTTGTAACAAGAACAGCCATGATGTCCTACATAGAAGTACCTGCTGGGACGTTAGCACAGTGTCTGGTCAAGCACACACAAACCCACAGTGACTGTGGAATGTTTTTTTTTTTCTCATTGTATATATAAACATGTTGAGGGGAATTTATCAAAACTGGAGAAGACAAAATCTGGAGCAGCTGGGCATGGCAACCAATCAGCATCCACCTTTTATTTTCAAAGCTTACCTGAACAAACTGAAGAGAGGAGCTGATTGGTTGCCATGCACAGCTGCTTCAGATTTTGTCTGCCCCAGTTTTGATAACCCCCCCAAAGGAATGTAACCTATTATAAATGAAACAGACTTATAAAAATACAATAATAGAGCTAATTATATGATGTAACCTGAGATCAGTTTATTTATTTTTTTGTAATTGTGAACACGCGCCCCACGGCCGCGTTCATTGGTCATAGTCTCCTACTCACAGTCTTCCATCATCCTATCCCTCTCTTGAAAAGGATAAATGTTAATTATTCTCTTCATAAATATGAAGTTGATAAAAAAAATGAGCCGTTCAGGAACGGCAGCACTCGGGTCCATGCCCAGCTTATTTGTCCCGTCATTTAAGCAGCGCTCAGTTTTTCCCTGTTCAATGTCCTCTTCCGATTGGTTGATGCTCTCTGCAAAGTCACCATATTAATCCACGGCGAGCCAAATCTAGCAGGGTAGCTCCTCGTCCATCTCTGGCGGTCGGATTCAATGAGGCTTCTAGATTATGCCCTTCTGTAGACATTTTGGTTTTCGGAATGTCAGCCAGCAAGTCAAAAGGATGATTGATAAGAAAATGGCGAAGAAGACCATGAGTCCGACATATCCGCCGTGTGACAGCGGAGGGGAAGGAGGAAGCTCAGATGGGATCATATTGGTCAGGTTCAGCATATAGCCCAGAGTCCATCCAGCATCACTACCATGGATCTGTGGAGATAACACAGCAAATAAATACAATGACATTCTGCTAAACAAACTATGCAGGAAAATTTAGCATTAATGTTGAATAAAAATAAATGCAGATACTAATTATTCCTGACCCCACCTCTCCTGGATGGCTCTTACTACAGCAGTTGTATAGAGAGGAGGCAGGAGGGGGAGACGTTGTGCCGCCCCAACAGGGGCATAGAATATGAGATGCATAGCCTCAGTTAATATTAGCATTGTTATATAGGTTAGAATTTATATAGTGTGATTTGCCTAACTATTTTCTCATAGCTGGGTTCATGTGTTATCCTATGCTGCCATCTAGTGGCCTTTTGTTGTAACAAACATGTTTTCTGTAATTATTCCTCATGTGACGATGTATTTTCCCCTAGTGTAGCCCCTTCCTGCTTCCTGTGTGCAGTACTTCCTGTGTCATGGCAAAGCTAGCAAGCCACATGTAACAGGACACACATGTAATCTGCACAGTACGTAGGAAAGGCATCATTTTCTGACCGCACAATACTATAACCGTTCAACTGCTGTTCCTATCATCTGCTGTAACCTGATGTAGAAGAATAAACACCTTTTTTGAATGAATCGGTATTGACGAGTTCAGCTATCTGACGAGGATTGTCCGCAGTGAGTATATCTGCTTATACAGGCCAGGCATAGAGGTCTCAGCAAGGGATATATCTCGCTATCACAACGATCGGAGTCAGAATAGACGTGATATGTGATATACTGCTGTGTTGGAAGAGACAGCAGTATAGCTCTAACGAGAGTCAATGTAAGACCTAACTAAACCTAAAAACAAATATGTCATATATTGCAGCTTACCCAACCTTAGATATGGTAGATGCATTAGTTGTCTTTTTCCTAAAAGTTTCCCTTAATTTTCACCTGGTAATCCTGAATAACACACTTCCTGTCCTAAAGTGGCTATGCTAACCTCCGCCTTATCAGTGGAGTGAGCCATGGTTGTCACAGAGGCTGGTCTTCAAGCATGTCTGGCTTTGTTCATCTCCTTTACATAATAGTTGATGGGATTATTTAAAATTACTTGTGATCTCTTAAATAGAAAACACCTCACACATGAATGGAAGCATACAGAAAACAATAAATGGCATATAACATGTAGTATGTTTGAAGGTTATCCACAAAACCGTATTTAGAATAAACCATAACCGTATCTGTACCATATAGTAATGATAAATACAGACCTTCTATCAACCAGCATAGGCTCTATGTCATCAAACACCATGTTCCATCTATTATCTTGGATTACTGATTAAAGTATATGTCCGGGAACGACATCATGGCTTATATTTGTAGTCCCACAGTGGATCTTCTTTTGTTGGATAGACAAACCTTTTGATGTTTGAGAAACACCAGTTTGTAGTTATCATTGGATCTCCAAAATTGACTCCTTGAGGCAACATACAGTATATGCTTGCATATGTCAGAAAATCTCAAAATCTCATGCTTATAGCTTTAACTATATATATATATACACTATATTACCAAAAGTATTGGGACGTTGCCTTTACATGCACATGTACTCTAATGGCATCCGAGTCTTAGTCCGTAGGGTTCAATATTGAGTTGGCCCACCCTTTGCTGCTATAACAGCTTCAGCTCTTCTGGGAAGGCGTCCACAAGGTTTAGGAGTGTGTCTATGGGAATGTTTGACCATTCTTCCAGAAGCACATTTGTGAGGTCAGGTACTGATTTTGGAGGAAAAGGCCTGGCTTGCAGTCTTCGCTCTAATTCCTCCCAAAGATGTTCTTTATGGACCATGCTTTGTGCACTGGTGCGCAGTCATGTTGGAACACAAAGGGGCCATCCCCAAACTCCTCCCACAAAATTGGGAGCATTAAATTGTCCAAAATGTCTTGGTATGCTGATGCCTTAAGAGTTCCTTTCACTGGAACTAAGGGACCAAGTACAACCCCTGAAACACAACCCCGCACCATAATCCCCCCTCCACCAAACGTTGTACTTGGCACAACGCAGTCAGGTAAGTACCGTTCTCCTGGCAACTGCCAAACCCAGACATGTCCATCGGATTGCCAGACAGAGAAGCGTGATTCGTCACTCCAGAGAACACGTCTCCACTTCTCTAGAGTGCAGTGGCGGCATGCTTTACACCGCTGCATCCGACGCTTTGCCTTGCACTTGGTGATGTAAGGCTTGGATGCAGCTGCTCGGCCATGGAAACCCATTCCATGAAGCTCTCTACGCACTGTTGTTGTGCCAATCTGAAGGCCACACAAAGTTTGGAGGTCTGTAGCTATTGACTCTGCAGACAGTTGGCGACTTCTGTGCACTGTGCACTTCAGCATGCGCTGACCCCACTCTGTCATTTTATGTGACCTACCCCTATGTGGCTGAGTTGCTGTTGTTCCCAGTTGCTTCCACTTGGTTATAATACCACCAACAGTTGACCGTGAAATATTTAGTAACAAGGAAATTTCACGGGAACACCTGAATCCAATGATTTGGAGGGGTGTCCCTATATTTTTGGTAATATAGTGTATATAGTTAAAGCTATAAGCATGATATTTTATCTGACATATGCAAGAATATATGATGCCTCAAGGAGTCAATTTTGGTGATCCAGTGATAACTAGAAACTGGTGTTTCTAAATTAATAAAACACCAAAAGGGTTGTCTATCCAACAAAAGAAGACCCACTGTGGGACTACAAATATTAGCAATGATGTCGTTCCAACAAAGCAACACTGATGCCAACTTTCTAATCCATGTCCTTGTCCTGCTAAATATTCACAACTGCATGTATCCAATGAAGGAGTAAACATCACAGCCTAAATACATCATCTGGTTGGATGTCTAGTGATAAGGGCATCAAACAGTAAACAGTCATGCATAAACTATTGAGTGGCAATGATAGTCCAATGACTTCACCATATACAGTATGTATAAGGAAAAAAGCAGCCCGATAACCATATGCATAAAACATATCCTGGCAACAATGCACTCTCATAGGATTGTATGAACATATACAACATTTGTGGAGCCCCTCTGAGGACCATGATTAAATGAAATTAGTTAGATGGTGTGTTCAGACAGCGCCGGCACCAGTACATGTTCCCATTCTTTGGGCACTTCTCAAGAGGCACATGTGGACTCCGGATGAGATTGAACTTTTTTGGATGCATGGATTTATTTCTGCAAGGGCCTGGCGGGCTGCAGTTCTGAGATAGACAAGTTTGTGATTTTATGGACTTTATGGTTTGACAATACATGCCTGGTGAAGTCAGGAGATTTATATTCCGCCCAATGGATGCTGTACATGTTCATACAGTAACTGCTATGAATGTGCACTGTTGCCAGGACATGGTTAAAGTATAGTTATAAGATGTTTTTTCATTATGCATATAGAGTGAAGTCAATGGAATATCAGTGCCACTCAACAGAGTTTACGCATTACTTTTTACCCTTCGATGCCCTTATCACTAGACATCCAACCAGATGAGGTACTTGAGCTGTGATGTTTAATCCTTCCTCCGGGTACATACGTTTGTGAACATTTAGCAGAACAAGGGAATTGATTACAAGGTCGGGATCAGTATATCTTTGTTGGAATTACATCATCACTAAAAGTTACTCCATGTAATATTTCTTCACAGTTTGAGCTGCTTCCATTCTTCCATTGTGCCCTGCACCTAAAACCATATGTACGATATTGATAATCCCGCAGTGGAACTTTTTCAGGTTCTGTTGGATGGATAAACATTGTGTTTGGTGTTAAACCAATCGAGAAACACTAGTTTGTAGTTACCTCTGGGTTATCAAAAATGACCCCTTTGGGTAAAATATATGAGGTCATTATCCAGTATACAACATACATTATTACCTTTCCTAAGAACGTGATGTCCTCCCAGCTGCTAGCATTAAAGCCATACAGATCCAGGAGGTTTAGAATGTAGACTCCAGAGAAACAATATTCACTGAGATACTTCTCCTTTATCCTGCCAGACTCTCTCTTTACCTAGAGAAGAAGAAGAACAGAGTAATCATTAAAGGAGCACATAGAGTATTTTAAGTGAGCACATTTTTCCCTTTATATCACAGTGTTAAAAAATGTCCTTTTACATTTTTGCATGCTTAATCTTTCATATTTTTGTTATTTTATCAAAGAGCAACCAGTAAAAGCATTCAATTCAGCTACCAATGCTATCAGGTTAACATGGCAGCCGTGCTAAAATTAAAAAGTCAATGTACCATTCAGATGGCAGAGTTGAACTTCCGTAATGGGGAATGAGACTCCCGTGTGTGTTGTTGCCCTCAGTCCAGGCCCTTTTTGTACCTACCCCATGGTCCTTATCTCCCCGAAGCGGTGTCTTCCCCCGCTATTGCCCTTTTCTTTTCTCCCCAGTACTTCCCCTCTTTTTCTTTACTATCCTTCCCTATTTTCTTTTGCACTTTTGGGTTGCACATAGTCTTTTAGAGATAATTACGCAAATGTCATTAGGTTAGGGTTGCCAATACAATTTCAACATACTATCATAGCCGCAACTACAGATTAAGTGGCCTCATAGCAAAAATATGATGGGAACCCCCTGACGACCTCTCTCTGAGATGTGAGTAACGATGCCAAGATCCCTAAGACTCCTCTTCTGCACGCAAAGTTGTCTCTACACAATAGACTTTAAAGGAGAACTATGGGGTAAGTGTTTTTCCCCATAGTTCTCCTAAGGGTCACGGGAGGACATAAACGCTAGCTCAGGGCTCAAAATTTCAAGTCCTAAACTACTAGCCAGGCCTTAAGAGTTACTCGCCACCAGTTGCCCCACCTAACCCCAACCCTGCCTCGGCCTTAAAGCTAGCTTATGTCCTCCTGTGACCCAAAGCTCAGTACATAACGAGCTGCAGCTCGCGGTATCCTGAGACTGCCGCAGCTGGGACGGATCCCAACATTACTGTCGAGATCAACCCAGCTGCGTGAGTGACAGCTGGCTCTGTCTATCTAGAGGCAGAGCAAGCTGTACCCGCCCCCTCCCCCATTCGTTCCTCCAGTCAGCGCTGGAGGATCGGACAGGGGAGGAGGGGAATCCCTGCAGGGAACCGTGAGTGACAGTCACTGCTCTCTGCAGGGACATGATCGAGAAGTGAGCGAGCGATGGTATGCATTCGTTCACTTCCCGATCTATTGAGCCGACGTGTGACAGTTTCATTGTCACACGTCGGTTCCAACTATGAGGTTGAGTGAAAATCACTCACCTCATAGTTCTCCTATAATGATACAGTACTGTATTATTTTCATATGTTCTATATTTAATTTGCCTCAACAACCTAATGGGGCCCTCTTGTTTAGCCTGATGAAGGAATCTGCTGCGTTCTGAAACCTTGCTACACCTGGTGATGTAAAAAAAAGAACTTTGCTTGGACAACATTTGGCTTGCTGGTTATTTACGGTTTTGTTTATCTCTTCCACCCCAGGCCCCATAGCAGTCACCTGGGCTGCTATGGCTATAGTTATGCCACTGCATACTATAGGTGTGGTTTGGTCCCTGACAGTACAGTCTCATTTTCTGTATTGAATGGTAAAGCCATTTTTCTGATGTTAGGTGCAATGACATGCTGACTCACGTTGTCAACTATGTGGTTAAACATGAGTGATCCAGACAAATACTGAGGGAGTTGCTGAACTTGAAATTACATTGTATTTATCAGGGGTAGCCAAATTTCGGCCCTCCAGCAGTTTCAAAAGGCATTGCAAGACTCTGACAACCACAGACATGACTCCCAGAGACAGAGGCATGGTGGGATGTTTAGTTTCACTACTGCTAGAGGGTTGAAGTTTGGCATCCCCTGGTATATACAGTACCAATGCATACGAGGAATTAACCTGATTATTTGTTTTCTGTTATATTATACTTACCATCTGGCTCTCTTGTTTTTTCCCAGGAAGTCTTGTCTCCTCTATGTTTTTCTTGTTTTATTTAAATTATTGCCTGTACATGTTAACAGGATGTTTGCACTGTTATTTTGTACATGTGCATGCTAAAAAAAATAATAAAAATGCTGTGGAATAAAAAAAAGTCAATTTACCTTAACCTTAAAATATATGTTTAGCCAAAACTATTTTAATTTTGGATAAAGAAAGGAGGGACTGAAACCCGTCAGTTTATTTTTCACTTTCTGTGTCCTTTTGTTCAGATTTCATTTCACTTACTGAGGCGGAGACGCAACAGGAAGTGAGAGAATCTCTTACAGTCGTCACCGGAACTGGTATCCCCATTGGACGATCTGCCCTGATCTTGTGTTCTGGTGACAACTGTAACATTTCCAAATGTGAAAAGAAATTAGAACAATCGGAACATCGAAAAAAAAAAGTAGTGAAGGCTTATATGATAACATGTATTATCAATGAGTAAGAAATGTGTATATTCTCAGTTTCCATGACCTACCTCACCCCATGGTTTAGAACAATGTCTCTCCACTGAGTCCTTCACGCTGTCCAGAGAAACTTTGACCTTGGTGACTTTTAAAAAGTCCATAACGAAAAAAAAAGCAGAGAATGCCTGCAGAGAAACAGCACACAAGTCATTAGGAAAACAAGTGGCGGTAAACATGTTTCCTGTGAAGTCGTGGCGGTAAACATGTTTCCTGTGAAGTCGTGGCGGACATGGACAGCATGTGGCTCTCCAAGGCCTGTGCAACCACAAGTCCATGGGACATGGGAACCATGGCTGGCAGACTTTAGTGGGAAAATCAACGGTCAATGAACAACAGTCAAGTCCAAAGCAGGGTTCACACAGATCATATAATCATAGACCACTTGACCCTAATCTTCTCTCTATTCCTAGTGTGCTGTACGTCTCTTTCCCTGCTGCTTGATGTGATGCAAGCTCAATTTCCCAAGACTATATATACAATCGTGCATTGCTTCCAGCAAGCAATGATGATGTTACAGTGTGGGAAGTTCAGACGCTGAGTTGTAGTTTCAGGCGGCATACACGGTTAGAATTTCAAACGAATTAAATCAATTTTGGAACATTCGTTCAACTTTATAAACATTGATGTGGTAAAATTGATGATCGTTTTGACCGCAATGATGAAAACATTTGAAGGAGCATGTTGCTAAATTTTTCTCGATCGAACAAAATTCTAACCACGAATGCGGTTTTCATTCCGAAAACTCCATTCATTCCAAAATCACATTTTAAATAAGAATGAAAAATCTAATGAAATTTCGGACGACAATCACCAAGTCTCTGGTGGCATTATGGAACGTTCCGACAGGACTATTAGCATGAACGTACGTGTATACCCTACTTTAGTTAGAGTGTTGACATCAAGTGCATATTCACAGGGCTGAGTGAAATTGTGTCAGTACATTGAGGAAGAACATCATATAAACATCTTCAATAAGTAAGTTTACAACTTCTAGATGGAAATGGTTATTAGGACTGGGACAGAACTTCAATACAGATGAAAATCTATATTGATGAAATATATATGGAAATTCAAAATACGAACATTTTTATTTTTGGACCATAGATACCCTTGAATGCTCTTGGAATTAATGCAAGCACAAGACACAAATCTTTTAGAACAAATTCAGTGTGAATCAACACGGGATCATGTTTTTACAGGTTCTACATAAACAAAAATAATCAGAAACCCAGAATAATGATAATATGTTCTCACCGCAAACTCTCCTTGCAGCATTGGCTGGAAAATCCCATTAAATGAACACCGAGAATAGTTACAGTGAGATACGTTGAAAATGGTCTGGACTTTGTTCTTGCATAGCTGGTAGTTGCCGGTCCCCTGGATCTGAATGGTCTGCGGAAGAGTGAGGGTTCTCAAGCCAGACAGACAGGGGCTGCTGTAAAGGTCCGCTGTGCTGACATTCCGCTTATATCCTGGGTTAAAGCACGGGTCCAGGAGGGTAATGTTATGTCCATTCTGTAATAGGAAATAAAGTTTTTTTTAATACATGACCTGTGTGTTTGTTGTAAAAGCATATTCAGTTTATATATTTATTATGCATATAGGTAACCTTATCTTCTTATATCTCATGCAGGCGTTGGTTGCATCTTAAAGTGTAACTCCATTTTTGTTGAGAAAAAAAACAGAATATAATCTCGTTCTTTGTAATTTGTAAGGGTATATTTATAAGCATGATACACCATTAACTATAGAGGGTTGGGGAAAATAGAAAGGTGGGAAGTTCAATTGGGATATCTGATAGCTTAAGTCTGAGAGATCTAAAAGTGGCATAGACCTTAGAACTTTGGTTCTCAACTGGTGGGTCGTGTTCAGTGGGTCACCACATGCCTTCCACTTTTCTAGGAGTCTATCCTCCCCCTTAGAACATTTTACATAAACATGCATGATCAGATTGCCCAAGCATGTCCAAGCTAGAAGAAGCATGGCCAGTTACCCCTACACTAGAAAAACAACAGCACTTGGACAAGGTATTCAGACATGTCTATTCCCCCAAAATCAGTTGTAGATGTGTGGCTAGGAGCACCTTTTATAAAATGGTAATCTTGCTTAGGTTGTTTATTTGAACAGAAAACCAGATACAGCCAACGTGTTTTGGGGGGCATAGGACTCCCCCTTCTTCAGCACTTGGGCAACAATATATAATGGGACAAGGTCATCAAACATGTCTATTCCTTCCAAAATCAGTTGTGGGTGTGTGATTAGGAGTGCCTCTAAACAATGGTCATCTCGCTTAGGTAATTTTTTTCAGTGGAAGAGTCAGATACAGTCGATGTGTTTCTGGAAAATTGGACTTCCCTTTTTTTAGGGCTTGAACAATAATATGTAGTTGGACAAAGTCCTCAAGCATGTCTATTTCCTCAAAATCAGTTATGGATGTGTGGTCAGGAGCACCTCTTAAAGGGTCATCACGTTTAGGTTATTTGAACAGAAGTGTCAGATACAGCCAGCATGCTTTGGTTCGAATAGGAGTGCCCTTTCTTCAGGGCTTTAGCAACAATATGTAATGAAATCAGGAAGAGATGTACTTTGTAGTCTGAATTAGGGTTGGATGAGTGCTTAGTGTGACCCATTTGCGGTGATGACTGGATAAGAGGGTTGGGGGAATAGACATGTTTGAAGACCTTGTCCAATTATATATTGTTACTCAAGCCCTGAAGAAGTAGGAGTTCAATTCCCCTGAAATGCGTCAGCTGTATCTGACATTTCCGTTTAAACATCCTAAAAGGAACTTTCAAGAGGCGCTCCTAATCACACATGCAGGATTTAACCCTCAGATGAGCAATCCCCCCCAATCACGACTAGATAGGCAGCAGTTGTGGACCATAGCCAGGTCCATACAATACACACATACTGTTATCATGGGTTTCTCCTTCAAGAAGGTCATCCCCATTTTTTCACACCCTACTCCTACAGGTCCAGTGCTACCTCTTATCTATCAGTTCCTAAAATTAGTTGGCCTGGGATGACATGAGAATGTCCTGAAAGCCATCATAAATCAGCTGATCCCACACATATCTTTGGAGTTCCATTTGCAGACTTCCACCAGTAGCTTTTAGGATGGGGTAGGCAACCTCGGCACTCCAGCTGTGGTGAAACTACAAATTCCATCAAGCTTCTGCCTCTGGGAGTCGTGCCGATGGCTGTAAGAGTCTTGCAATGCCATGGGAATTGACTTCTTCCCAGCTGAAGTGCCGAGGTGGCCAACCTCCGTCTCAGGCCGTCCGACACTTTAAGTAGAAGTTTCAGCACAAAGCTGGAAACAGTTGGGAAAACAAACTGTACACTTTAATGCTCCCAAATAAAAAAAAATAAAAAATCAGATCTCTCTCACGCTCAATATTTTTTCCCAAAATACCTAGGACGCCAAACCGCCACATCGAAAAGTTTTCAGAAGCATTACAAGACGTGCAATTTGTTGAAACAATTATCTCAACTAAAACCCACTCTATTTACAGCAAGTGATATAAAAACCCAATAGGGAGTGCAGGGAACAATACAAACAGTTAATTGTCGCCATTGTGCAGCTGGCACGAAAACATGGCTGAGTTAAGTTTGAGATGCGCTTTTTTTTCGGCATCAATTATGGGGTTTCAGAATACTCTCAACGAAGTTATTGAACATGCTGCCACAAGATGTATTTTAGTCTGTTTAACTCTAGCGATGACTCCAAAGCTCTGACACCAGGAAGGATTAATGGATTAAAAGGTGAGAGGGAAAAGACGCTGGGATTAGTGGAAGTATTTGTTATGGACTCAAAATATGAAACTGCATGAAGGTGCTGAGGAACAACTTCCTATTTATGTAACTTAGGCTGATCTTAAAGTGCATCCAATGGCCAAACGTTTTCAAAGTTTTAGGTAGAATAGAGAAGGGTAAATTCCCTCTTATGTCTTTGTCCCATTGATGTCTCCTGTCAACTTTTACTGCAGTTGGAGGCTCAGTTGGAGAAATCCCTCTACTTCCTGTCTCACATAGTCCCTAGGACAGGAAGTGAAGGGAAATCTCTGGAAGAGCACACGGTCAGAACCACTGTGCTTGGCTCACAGTAGTAAAAATGAAAGTGTACTTATAGCCCAAACTTTTTTTTAGCTTTGGATAAAGCGGGGAAGGATTATAACTCTGGTTTTACTGCAGTTGGAGGCCCTGCCGGAGAAATCCTTTCACTTGTCTTATAAATAGGTTGTCCCCAGGACAGGAAGTGAAGGGAAATCTCTCTAACAGCAGAAACAGCCAGAAGTGAAAATGCTTCCTTTTAAGTTAAGTAGGGGAATGCTAAAACAGAGGTAGGCAACCACAGGCATGGACTGACAACCACAGGCATGGCTCCCAGAGGCATGATGGAATTTGCAGTACCACAACAGTTGGAGTGTCGAGGTTTTCCTATGCTAGAACCTCTGTCCCCTATTTTTGTTGTCTGTTTCCCTGGTGCAGATTTTCCCTCACTTCATGTCTGCTAAAAGGTTGTCCCCGGAACAGAAAGTGAGGGGAGGCCTTTCTGATGGAGCCCAGTATAGTGGAAAGATCTGACAGAGGTCCTGACCTTTCCCCATTCAATCCGAAACTAAGTTTCGGGTATAGACTACTAAAAGTGATATTGACTTTAATGCACCACAACTCACTATCAACAAAGTTAAGAACAGAGGCTTCTCTGGGGGTCTAAAAACTTTATAACTTAGGTAATAATAAATCAGGTAAGTCTCTCTCACTCCATCCTCCCATGGCTTTTGTCAAGGTGAATGCGACCAGCCCAACTTAATACAGGGCTTTGTTGATGGACCTTGGGCTTGTGTAAATGGCATCAGAAATACATCTGAGAAGCTTCTGAGATCATTCAGAATCCATTGACAGGTTCATCTGACCTGCAGTTGAGGTCCTTCTGACTTGCATTCCCATAGACTTGTACTGGGATGGAAAGAAATTTAAGAAAAGAAAAGCCCTTAGACCCGGGCCCTAAAGTTATTCAACACCTGGAGCAGTGACAAGGCCTCTTATCTTTTGCATGTGATGAAACAGTTTGGTGTGTGGGGCACGTGGTGAAAGGTCTGAAATTCGAATGAAATATATATGGAATAAAAGTGATACAGTATGCCAATATATTTTCAGGTGTGTATAGTCCAGATGCGGGAGATATTATTTCTCCAGCAAAAATGGAATGTCCCTTTAAGAAAAGGTATAAATGATGTCTCTTTATCCAGAGGGTATGCTTTTCTCAGTATTATGGAGTACAAAGTGCTTAGGAGTTGATGAACGGATAATTATATCAAATATTTCAAGAAGTGAAAGGTTTTAGCTTGTCAGTAGAAGTTCACTGGGCCCCGGGGGCTTTTTTTTCCTACCAGTAACAGGCAACAAGAATCTGCCAGTATATAGTGCAGATAAATGGAGACAGCCTGAGACTCTAATTCCAAAAGTGTGAAGCACTTCAGGATACATCCACACTTTGTCTTTTAGGGAGAATTGCATAATCAACAATCTTCTCTACCTTCTAATCTGCTACATAGGGCTCAATTCACAAAGTTAACACACTAAGATACTTAGTGGCTGATTTAAAATGGAGAACTAGCATTGCTATCCACTTTCCATTATACTCTGCAGTATTACTCAATACGGCAGCTTGCATTTTGCGGCCCATTCATAAAATTGCATGTTGCAGTACCAATGAGGAACTTTACCCACCAACTAAATGTCTCCCAAGTTACTTTCAAGGCACACCAACTGTCAGGGTGCTAGTAGTTATTGCAGCTCTCAACCAAACTTTTAAGCGGTCAAAATGGCTGGCGTCATAGCTGGTCACATGTACAGCAACCATGGCAACTGCAATCCAAATAGATGCTATGAAGGCACCTTCCTTGGCTGTACGGGATAGGCGGTTGTCGTTTAGCTTTCATCCTGCGGTACTAAACACTGTGACTAGAGAAGAGCCAGTCACGTGACTCTGACAGCCAACAGAGTACAAAGCACATTTGTAAAGCTCGTGGCTGGCCTTTATAAATGTGTGGCCATGCTGCTGCCTTTTAAATGGACCTAACATTTTCAAAAAAGTATTTTTTTTCTGGAATCCATTAAGATTTGAAAAACTAACAATTACATGGCTAAAATAAAGATCCTTACTCATTAAAGAGAATCTAATTTTTAGCTGAGATTTAAACCAGTTATCCATGTTTTCAACACTGATTAGCAAAACTGAAAGCTTCCTTTGGCCCAAAACTTTGGCCCAAATTGAGAGATTTTGGCAAAATGAATGCGGGTTCATTAGCACTTACAGTTTGCATATACTTCCAAGATTATTGAAATACGGGAGGTCCGTGCGCATGAGGCCTTAAGGTCACAAATCAAGAAACATGGAAGCACAAGGAAAACAATTGCCGCATTCAGCTATATGTGCCACATAAAGCATTAGGAACTGGGTTTTTTTTTTGTCCCCCTCGGCTGAAAGGAGCATCAGGGGAAGGGAATAAGGGTAAGTATGTGCTCCTTGGGAAGGGAACTTTAAAAAGGAACCCGCTTTGCATTTATGTATCAACTAGAATAGCTACCAGTAATAATCTGGTTTTTATTTTCTAGACAGAGACTCCCAGGATGGAAGCACCATGTTACTGCTTGCTACAGGCAACACTTTTAGTAAAAGATACTTTCAAAAATACAGCTCGTTATTTGGTTTCTCTATACCAGGGGTAGGCAAACTCTGGCCCTCTAGCTGTGGTGCAACTACTAATCGCATTAGAAATTGCAAGATTCTGACAGCCACACGTGTGACTCCCAAGGCAGATGCATGATGGGATTTTAGTTTCACCACAGCTGGTGGGCAGGGGTTTGCCTACCTTGCTCTATACAAGTCGAGGTTTCTTATTCATGGGTTGTTGTGTACCGTCATACTGTTGGCCAGCTGCAGACGGAGAGCCTGGTCCTTCCCGTAACACAGAAAGCTGTGTGTATAGACGTTATAAGATTTCCCATACAATCGGAAGCGCAAGGAGTTATCCTGTGATTCGATGTTTTCATCGGATACAAACGTGATCTGTGTGGAGGCCCCTCCGAGGTCCAAAGCACCTGACGTTCCTAGGTTAGAATTTGGTATAAACTTGAACCAAGGTGAATTCTGGTGGGAGAAGAGAAAGAACGTTAGGAAAGTTGGTCAACTTATGGCTTTGCCTCCTCTACAAGTACATTTGAACCCCATCACTATTATTATAGACAAGCGTGACTTGTGCCCTGAATTTTAGGCGAGGTTCCAAAATATTTTAAAAAGAACTAAGAAAATGTTCTTCCAAAAAAAAGACACTAACCAGATTATTTAATAGTTCACAGAGGTGTGAAATCTAAGAACTTTGATACCAAATAACCACTAGATCAGCTGTAGCCAACCAGTGGTCCGTAGAGCACTGGTGGTCCGCGAGAAAATTTTGGTGGTCCCTGGGCCCCTCTGATGCCATACAAGCTGGGCCGTCATTGAAGTGGCACAAAGGCAACGAGGCTGCCCCTCACTGACTCAAGCAGCGGCTGTCACAAGGAATGCGCGGCTCTCAGTACAGTGCGGGCTCTGCAGAAGGCGGGGCATCTCGTCAGTACCCGGACTATATATAGATACACACACACATATGAGAATATATGTATGAGGAAACAAAAAATATGAGAATGTATTTATATTTTAAAAAATGTTATATTAGTGGTCCGTGGGATTTAAAACTTTGAATTTAGTTGTCCATGAGGTCCGAAAGGTTGGCGAGCGCTGCACTAGATAGTATTTTATCCAAGTTAAAATACAAGTACCTAGAGAACACATTTGGGGATACTACACAAATCTCACCAAGGGGACCTAATACAATATGCTGATGTACTATATTAGGCCTCGTTGGTGAGATTTGTGTAGACCAGTGTTTCTCAACCTTTTTCCACTCACGGCCCCCTAAAAAAGTACCCGGGGACACCATGCATGTACGGGGGACACCATGCATAAACACACAAAAAAAGCGGGGTTTCTCCCTTTGCATCAAAGTCCTTCCTTCAAATCAGGAGCCCCCTATTCACATCAGAGCCCCCCTTTCACATCAGGATTCTCCCTTTCACATCAGAGTCACCCTTTACATCAGTAGCCCCCCTTTATATCAGAGTCACCCTTTCATATTGGAATCCTCCTTCACATCAGAGTTCTACCATCAGAAAATGTTGAGGCAGCCCTGAAGAGGCTTGAAGGCACCCCAGTGTGCCACAGGCACCCTGGTTAAGAAGAGCTGGTGTAGACTACTCAAATGTGCTCTCTAGACATTCTCTGTGAATGTTCTTTCTGTGCGAATGGATGCACAAAACAAACATTCTATTGTATTTTCTTTAGAAGTTGAATGTATTTTTCGGATGTCATTTTGTAATACTGCAATAAGGCCATGAGATGGAGCTGAGGAGCATAAAGAAATACTTTTTTCTTATGCTCCATCTAGTGGCCATACTGCAGTATTGCAAGATGACGTTTGAAAATAAAAGAAGACACGTGAATGGTTTATAAATAGACCCCTTGGTGTGCTTTGTGTATTTCTTCCACATCTGTGCAGTAATCCAGTGCGGAGCTTCCTGTAATAAAAGGCCAGCCACTGCGGCTCTCTCTCCTTGTGCGGGGTGGCTGCTCTTGTATCTGCCCTCTCCTGTAGTTTTTTGAAGGCAGCGTGTAGTGGGTGGGGTCTGCTGGGACCCTCCTACAGCTCTACTCTTTGCACAGACTATGTGCAGCACAGTGATGATGTCACTGGTAGTTTACAGGGCAATATCTGGGTTTAAAGAAGGTATTTTGGTTCGTATAAAGTGGATTTACAGCCTTTGTGGATATAGAGGAATATATTTAAATGAAAGTGTTTGTGCCCAGAGTTCAGCTTTATACAGAATGCACAATCAGTGCAGAGGGAATGAAAACACCCGAGTTATTAAAAAAACCAAAAAAAAACAGGTTCTCGAAAATGACGGACGAAGGTTGAAAGTTTTATTCCTGTTGGTTGTTTTTGCGAAAAAGAATAAACAGATCATCTGAGACAGTTCGCACCTCAGGCACTTTGATAAATACCACCCATTTTATTTTTGTAACACTGATTACAGTACGTCAGCCTATATTTAAAACCAAAACTGCTGCTGCTCTCCAATTTTTGGTTTGCTAACAACACAGGACAAGACATAAAACCCGCGCTCCGAGCGGAGGGCGTACTAACTTGTATGAAGTTTCCTAGGAGATAGTTTATTGTGATCCAGCCATAGGCTCCCTCTTCTTGTCCTGTAATGATTCTGGCACCTTGAAAATCAAAGAGAGACGATCGCAATGTATTTTCCACGGAGGTGAGGATCTCATCCGCCGACATGGGGTTAGTAAGCCTAGAAGAATACAATATATGACAAGTGAACTATAAAATATAGTAATACAGGCTTATTTAATACAGTCTCAAGACAAATATATAATACAGTGCTGCAACCAATCAGAATTCAGTTTACTCCTAGGCAGACCAGCGAAGAGATGACTTCTGATTGCTTGCTATGGATGACTGCACTAGGTTACATGTTGATGTGTCCTATGTGCTGCTTTAATGATTCAGTTTACTTTTTCATGTAGCAGTAGCTTTCTTTGTTGTAGAACTCTACTGTATTAGATGAGCCTGGCAGCGCTACTTACATGATTAAATTAAAGGAGATTTTGCGGCGCTAAAAACCCTTTCTGTGTGAATAACTAAATATCTTAATAAACCAAGTAATACTCCTAAACCGTGATCAGTGCAAAGTGCTAACAGTGAAAAACTTTTCTTCCAAAACAGTGAATAAATATTACTGTGTAAATAAAATGAGAAGACCATATGGTCTCTTGTAATTGTGATAACTGTATAAAGAAACAGACCTGCTACCCCTTGGAAGACGTCCTTTAGTGACGAAACGCGGCGGGGCGGGGCTATTCCGACGTCACAGCGTCACGGAGAATCAGGAAGTGAACGTGGAGGTTCACGAATTACTGATTGTTTCATCCTTTAATGCTTCACCATGAGGAGTCTCTCTTAATTTATGGGAAACATAATCTGACTAATACCTAGAGGATATACTAAATAGGGATCTGATCCAAATACCTACTCCAGACTGACTACAAAAGCCCATAAGGATGTGTATGCGGTGAGTGAGCACTGCCTAAGGGGTTTTCGTGTGTGACACTTTGAAGTTTTTTTACGCACTTATATTGGATGCACCAGCACGCTGTTTAAGTAATTGGAGGATATTCATCAACCTTCCAGAAACTCTTTGTTCTACATCTATCACTACATGAAGTTGGATTGGACTTTTTTGTTATTTAATGTTATTTAATGGATCACTATAAATCACGGATTTGATTGTTTGAGAGGTTTGTCTAATCATACAGAGGTTGTATCACCTCAACCACTCTGCACAAAGTGACTGCACACTACAGTCTTTATTAATTGTTTTTTACTGTTAAAATTGCTTTATACAGTTATCACAATTATAAGAGACTATATGGTCTTCTCATTTTATTTACACAGTAATATTTATTCACAGTTTTAGAAGAAAGGTTTTTCACTGTTAGCACTTTGTTTGCACTGATCACAGTTTAGGAGTATTACTTGGTTTATTAAGATATTTAGTTACTCACACAGAAAGGGTTTTTAGCGCCGCAAAATCTCCTTTAATTTACCAGGACTTCTCAGTTTGTATTAACGGTATGCCTCCCTCGAGCAGCTGTTGGGCTCTCGGTCCATGACCGAGTGCCTGACCTTTCAGAGAGGGTGACACCCAAATGACTGTCAGTCTGATGGTATCACCTGGTGCGGGCCGCAACCCCCACACTTCCCTAGTGACGCCACTAGACATGTAAGCTGCTGGAAAAATTCAGTTCGGATATTTTGTCATTTTGGGATTCGAATCCGAAATTTAATTTGGTTCGGGTTTCGGACGAAATCCAAATTTTCATTTGTTTCGGAGTTTACGAATACCACAGAAAACCATATACAGATATTAATACTAAAGCTGAAGCTCCTAGACCCGAATTCGGGAGTCCGACTTTACAAATTTCCAAATACGATTCGGGAGCTCCAGAAAGCAATACGGGTCTGGGAGCCATATTAAAGCTAAAGCTTCTAGACCCGAATGGCATTCGGGGGCTGTTGAATGCCATTGGAAACTTGGACTCCATTCAGGTCTTGGAGCATCAGTTTTAGTATTATGTATATACTGTATAAGTAGTATTCTATAATCCAAACAAATATTCATAGCGGCAACATTGTGACCCATATATACATAAAACTATACCTGAGGCTCCCAGACCCGAATGGCATTCAGGAGCTCCCAAATACAATTCGAAAATTCGTATTCACACCCATTCGGATGCATTAGACCGAAAAACACATCTGATTGTACGAATTTTGATTCGTAACAAAACGAATCGCACATGTCTAGACGCCACTGCTTAGTGGGTTTGTAGGTCATTATTACAGTTTTACTACTACAGCACTTTACAGGATTTCTGCAGGCTGACCAGGTATCATATATACATAGTTACACCTGGAGTGCAATTTTAAGGACCTACTCCCTTGGGTTTAGACCCTTCCCTACTCTATACAAACCCCCCCAAAAAAACAACAAAGAGAAAATTGAATACAGTTTAGGAAAGGAGAAGTACAATAAGCTTATGCACACAGTTAAGAGTTTTCTGAGAAAAGTACAGGCTGTCAATTACTTTTCATGAGCTGGCTTAGGGGGCCATTGATAATACCTGAGTAGCCGCATTCCAGCAGTGGCTCCTAAGTACACGGGAGTCTCTTTGTGCTTACTCACTGGAATAATGTCTTGTGCTTTGTTCATACATGCCTGCAGAGAGAGGCCAGCGTCTCCAGGCTTCTCATGGTAGCTGGATATACCATTGCCTGTCAAGAAAAGAAGAAGAGGACAACTATATGTAAACTAAACCACTAAAATCTCATAGAAGCTTACACACGTCCATGTCATTTCAAAATTACATAGCAATAGTTTTATATTTGCAGATCTCATTAAAGTAATTCCTGGTGATACACTTTAGCATTGTGCAAATACATTCAGTTATCTTCTCAGACTGGCTGTCTAAAGAAGAAAGAGATGTCACTGTGGCCAGATCATTAGCTACAGTATTATAAGTATTAGGGATGTCCAGATACCGATGCCAGCATCGGAATCGGGCCCGATAAAAGGCATTTTGACAAGTACTTGTACTTGTCAAAATGCCCCGATGCCTAGCGCCGAAGCTTGCGCTGTTTTTCTTTTCCTTACTTACCTCGCCGAGCGTCGCATCACTGCTGCTCCGGTGGGCGGAGCTCCAAGCAGGGTCATCTGGCAGTCTCCGTCCTAATTTTAGGTGGCCGGAGACACTATAGTGTACTGGACTTGTGTAATGTATATGTAGTACATATATACAGCACACACCTCCACTACACTCCAGCAACAGAGTTACAATTCTCCGCTGCTAACATGAATAGGTTAAATCATGATCCATAGTACAGAACATGTAGTTGTACTATGGATCATTTAAAGTCACCTGTCCCTTTAAGAAAAAGTATCGGTAATTGGTATCGGCAAGTACATGAGGGGAAATACTTGTACTTGGGCCTGAAAAAGTGGCATCAGGACATCCCTAATAAGTATATATAATGCAACATTAAAGCTAACAATCCATAATGATAATACTTCTTACAGAATGAAGAGTGTTTCCCTTTTGTTTATATACATGACACTAACTTCCCATGAAGAAATCATAATGCTGATAACCGGGTACAATTTTTACACTGGCTGACGCACTAATGAACTCCGGCCAGTGACCGTGAGCAATCCGCACTCAGCGCGTGCTTTGGTCACTTGGCAATTTCTCATCTTCTTTTTTTCTGGATATCTGCCACACTTAATATTGGCAGACATACAGCTCTGGCAATGAGAGACAGAAATAAAATAAACATTTCAGAAATCTGCTGTACTTTCCTTTAGGTCCAGATTTAACACTCATGGATGATGGCCAAAACGTATGTTTTATCCAACTGGCATTCGCAGCTTTGGACTAAATTAGAAGAAAAATGCTTTTCATAGGGATTTCAGTCACATTAATCACTCAAGATATCCAATTTTAGCAACCCACTAGAGTGCATCCTCCTTCTGTAGTTTAAATTAGTCATAAGCAGGGATGAGTGGGGGATGAAGATGCACAAACAAACAAAGGTAGCCACAGATATGTTAACTCCTCCATGACGGGAGTTCCAGGGCCCCGGCAATAGTTGTTCAGACATTTTTAGAATGGTTGTCTTGGTAATTTCAAGATAAGGAGGGTTCCAAATATTACAATGGACTTCCAAAATTAATAATTAAAGGGTCAGCTTACCTAAAACTAAAGCTAGCCATACACGGCTTAAATTTCAGCCGATTCCTGCTCAATTGGGCAAAATTCCAGATGTGGGTGGCTCTTGTGGCACCACATTCCACAGTATTACTCAATAACACAGCCTGTATTTTGTGGCCCATCCATAAAATGTAGGCCGCTGTATAGTTTGATAAATGCAGTCATATGGCCGTGTAAGGCCTCGGGCACACATGGGCGCATGAGGCCATAGAATATAATTGCAGGTGTACAGCTAGCCCATATTAGTGAATGAGTGTAGGCAGCTTTCCACTCCTTTACGAGGGTACATGCTAATCTGCAAACACGGGCATGCAGCTTTACGTAGCATGGGTTTATTCAAGTAGCAATGCGTGAACTTACCTACAGCCGCCTACACCCATTCACTATTTTGGGAGACTGTACACCACAGTTGTTTATCCCAAGCATGAAAATATGCCTACAGTTTTTGTTCTCCAGCCTGCCTTCAGCCCATACATTTGCCTTATAAATGCCTCGCTTAGACTATCCATCACTTGAAGGCACAACATGACCATACATAGGCCAAGAAATCTAGCAAATGATGTAAATGTAAATATACAACACGGGTGGACAAATTCTTATGGAATTCAGGATCCGGTTTGTCCAACCCAAGAGCCAGCTCCATTGACAACAACTATAGAAAAACCCGAAAGTTGGATGCCAAGGATGCTTGTTTATCCCAAGCATGAAAATATGCCTACAGTTTTTGTTCTCCAGCCTGCCTTCAGCCCATACATTTGCCTTATAAATGCCTCGCTTAGACTATCCATCACTTGAAGGCACAACATGACCATACATAGGCCAAGAAATCTAGCAAATGATGTAAATGTAAATATACAACACGGGTGGACAAATTCTTATGGAATTCAGGATCCGGTTTGTCCAACCCAAGAGCCAGCTCCATTGACAACAACTATAGAAAAACCCGAAAGTTGGATGCCAAGGAGCGTTGGCTACCTGGCTTCTGGGATTTGTCCAGGCCTGATTTAGATGATGACTGGGCAAAGGGTCCACTATGAGCACGATGTGACAGGTTCACCTATACAGGAGGTATAAAAAAAGAATTGTCCAGATCCACTAACCTTCCACTTTGCATTCTTCTACTTGTTGAACAACGCCCGTGTCATTTTCCTTCTCTGCTGGCCATTGATAGATGTATAGACTGGTGTGTGAGGACCCGGCGTCTAGCACAATACCATACTGCAGAAGAGGGAACAGACAATTAGATGCTTATGATGGTCAGATGTTCACCAACTTGGCCATATAGCGTATCTTCAGCTTTTCCCATTTTATATTAATCAACCCTGGGCTTCCATCGCACATCCGCACACATGGCGGTTATAAGCTAAGTATAGGCTGGTACTCTGAATCGTGTAAAAGCTGTCTAATGGGGTAATGGTGTATATAATCTTGTACATTTGTCAGCATGTTTAGCCCTGGAATCTCTCCCAGACTTGGTAAATGGTACGTTACAGTCTGAAGCTGACACTAATGATCTTCTCTCTTGTATAAGAGGCGCACAATGAAAATAAAGACGGCACGCACAGATAAGAGATGTTATTGAGTAGGCTCTGCCATTTTAATTATGTGTTTCCATTCTCAAACACCAAGCTTTCTTGAAGGGTGTTGTGTGACCCTACATTCTCCAGCTAACATTGTTATTAACGACGAGGAATGTTACATCTACAAGTCAGGGAGTAACTATAGAGGACCACGTCCAACAACACAATTATAGGGGCCCTTGGCTCCCAGCCTCCATCTTAAAGAGACCCTGTCCCCAGCTTAACAAAATTGCAGGTAAAAGCACAGAAAAATCAAGTATTTATAATGCTTGCTTGCAGAGTTTTACTTTCTATAAATTATGTTTTATTCGCCTGCAATGTGCCTTTGAACTTGTTAGAAAGTTTGACTACTCCGGGAGAGTAAATTCCCTAGAACACCCCCTCAGTGGCATCACAAGGGAGGTGCGGCCCGCACCTGGGTGTCAACATTGGTAAAAAGTCGGGCACTCGGTCATGGACCGTGTCATGAACAGTGTTAGGAGACACTGCCGGCGTCCATCACCAAGATGGCCGCCGGCAGGCATCAATCAGATGGTTGCGCATGCGCGATGATGACACGGCGGGGTGTCACCCGGTCTAGAGACCTGGTGACACCTGGCCTCGGGACGCCCCTACACCCCCTCCCTCTTTGCAAAGCATAGCCATTTCCTCTTTTGGGAGTGTCTACTTACTGTCTGTGCTGGCCTAGCTAATCCACACCTCGCCCCTACACAACCCTGTAGGATACTATAGAGCAGGGGTAGCCAAATGTTGGCCTTCCAGCTGTGGTAAAACTACAAATCCTATCAGGAATTGCAAGGCTCTGACAGCCACAGACATGACTTCCAGTGGCAGGTGCATGATAGATTTGTAGTTTCAACCCTGGACGGCCAAAGTTTGGCTACCTGTGCTATAGATTGTCACTTAAGTGACAGCTCTAGGGCACATATCATAGATGGCGGCACACAGCAGGAGTCTAAGCCCCTTTGCATGTCTACACAAGGAAGGCTTTTACAGGTATATAACATGAATAAAATATGTTAAATGCCTGTATATTCTTATGGGAAGATTGTTGTGGAAATGAATAATGGTCTGGTGAGGTGATAATGGTCTCTTTAAAAGGAAACAATGGGCGTTTTACAGTTTTTAAGGTATAAATGAGAATGTGATTAGCTTAAAGCATATGTTAACCTAATCCCTAAAATCTCATATAATTTTTAAAATAGCCATTGTGAGTGTGCATGTGGCTAGGAAAGTGGCTGCAAAGAGGCTGCAAGAGATCAGGAGCAATGAGATGGAACAAGGAATAAAAAAAGGGTGAAATTGTATTGTAGCTGAGTGCCTATTTAATCGCCTTGCTCAAGTGCAGACACTGGCCCTTTTAGCTCCATTTCCCACAATATACAAGCTCCTTAGCTTCCTTCCCTCAGAAGCTCATAGAGGCCTTATCTGATGAGGCTAGGGTAGTTGGGCAAGTAATCTGCAGCCAGGTGAGCAGACCTCCACTGTCAGAACCGGCACGGTCAGAACAGTCTCCAAATTGGAGCCTTACAGCACGCAGCTTCTCCAGAAGACCTAGCTAATGCGGGAAGCCCCTATCCAATTGCTACCGGAGAACTCTAGTTCCAGTATGGTGGCCCTCCTTTGTCCTTTGGCCTTAGATCCATTCGGCTAGGTACAGATAAGACAAGTGTAGAACAGTTCCCAAGATTTTGTCCTCTGTTCGCTATCAAGGACAAGGTGTTTCCCAAATTTTCTCCACCCAGGCTACCTGTATTCAATTTATCTACTGATAAATATGCTCCAATATGGAGGCTCTCAAAGATTGGAGTAAGGACTACACTGCAGACAGGAGCCTTGGTGAGGAACTGTGGCTTTCACATACTTTGCAAAAGTTATGCAACTAAAGCCTCTGTTTTTAACACATACTATTAGGCCTAGTTCACCCCAGCCCCAGAGAGTTCCGGTCCGATTCGCTGACGAGACGAACTGGATCGCATTCTGGCTGGCTTACTGTGTTCTCTGGCGGGAGGGCGAGTGGCGGTGCATTGAAGCCAATGGCACCGCAGCCACACACCCGGGTCGCAGTGCAATCGGCTGCACTGGAACACGTTCCGGTGTGGGCGATTGCACTGCA